AGCAACCCTGCAAGGTTGCACATCTTTACCTGGAGTACTGGGGTGGGGATGTACGATAACCACTGGGCTGCTAACTACATGGTCGGCAGCTCAAACCCACCAGTTATTTCTCGGAAATCCTATACATGGTCGCTCTGAGTCAGAACTGACTCCATAGCACTTAACAATAACAATCTTTACAGAAAGGAACCATGGTAGTGTCATGAGTCAGAACCGACTCAACAGCAGTGCATCTGGGCTTAACCTTTAGGGAAGCAAACTACCACATCTTTCTCCCACCGAGTGGCTGGTGGATGTGAACCACTGATCCCTTGAGCCACTGAAAACCCTATGGTGCACTTCTCCTCTGGCATATGAAGTCATCGTGAATCAGAATTAACTCAATGGCAATGGCACTTTTGTAGGAACTCAGAGCCTGGCATTGCCTTTTCCATCACCTACCATCCTCAGGCTGAAAATATTTCACTTCAAATCCCTGAATGCTACAGGTTGAGGAAGCAGCCCGGGGCATTTGGCCACACACCCAGAGGCCATGGTCATTGATCATCAGTCATAGGCAGCCCCTTCAATCCCATGCTCCCTGAAAGGATGCTCAGAGGTGTCAGTTAGGGAGAAGAGCAGCTAAAACAGATCAAGTCCCAGGAAGGAGTCTCCTCAAAACACCAAGTTGATGAAGAGGAAGGAGGAGCAGGACTGCAGCACAGTGAAAGGAAACAGAGACAGTGACTCGGTGTACTCCTATGACCAACCTTCATGTCAGGATTGACCCAGTGGCCAACAGGGAAAGGGTTAAGAAATACCCCATGGAACAAGACGCAGCCTTTAGAAATGCTTCCAGAGGGCTTTTAATGACCTAAGACAGGCATTTATTATAAATAATTTCGTGGAAAAAGCAAGACCCAAAATTCAGTTGTGGTCTCAGCAGTCACAGAAGGGAATCTGAACAACAATCACAGGGAATCTGGACTACTAAAGAATAGTGGTGGCTGGATGGTGGCTTCGAAGACTCCTCTACTTTAAATCTCATCCCTCAGGCATCGGAGAGGGAGCGGACTCCGTGGCCCAGTTTGGGTTTAGAACGGTCTCTTTGGCAGCCTGAATAGAAAGGATTGGGAGGGTGAGGTGGGAGGTCCCATAGAGGCTGGGGCAGCGCAGAGGGGCAGGCCAGAGCTCCAGCCACAGCTTTGGGAAAGGGACAGAGTGGAGGGGACTAAAAGGAGTCTGGGGGGAGGGAGGAAGCAGGGAAGGGACAAAGCCAACAAAAGCACATGTTATGTAAAACACCAGAGACACAGAATCCAGAGACGATTTACCCCCAGGGGCTGACCCAGACCTTGGTTAAGAGCAACAAGTCAGTCTCAGTCGGGCATTGCTTCTGGCCAGCCTGGGCTCTGCAAAGCCTAGGGCAACAATGAGGAACCCACACATGGGGGAAGGGTGGCCAAAATCAAAATATTTCCACTCTTTCACTCCCAGGAGCCTACAGTCACTTTCCAAATGTGGTCGTTGTTGTTATGTGCCATGAAGTCGGTTCCAACGCGTAGCGACCCTGCCCAGGGTTTCCGAGGCTGTGAATCTTTATAGGAGCAGAAAGCCTCATCTTTCTCCCTTGGAACAGCTGGTAGTTTTGAACTGCTGACCCTGAGGTTCGCAGCTTGATCTGTAACCACTACACTACCAGAGCTCCTTTTCCAAATGTGGTGTGGTAGATTTTTAAAAATCAATTTGGATTTTGAAATCAGTTTGTTTTAATAAAGAAGATACTATTTTTCTCATACTTGGTTGTCAATCAGAGTCCCCAAGTGGTGCAAACGGCGAATCTCTTGATTAAATTCATCTAAAGGTGACAATCCCCTGAACTCCTAAAGGTACCTACTGACAGGAAGGTGTATCACCTTTTAAAAGGCTGTGTGCTAAAACATCAAAATGTGATACTAGAACATTGTATAGGACATGTACAAGGGTGTTCAAGTAGTACTGTGACTACTAGAAGAATGTTAAAAACAACTCAAATATTTCTTCACAGGAGACTGGGCAAATAAATAACTGTCATTTCACAGACAGGAACCTACTAATAAAAGAATGATGGAGAGTCATGCATCCTGGTAGGGAAAGATGGCCACTATCGTATACTGGGTAAAGAAGAATCAACCCACAGAAACATATAATGTGATCTTGTTATAAACAAAGCTACATGAGTGTATACACAGAGCTGTTTAAAAAGGGCAACAACACTCCAAACTTAAGTGGTTTCTTCTGGGGAATGGGACTGAAGGGAGGATGGAGGGGGCTTCCATTTTTTACTTTCTATACTCTTAAATTGTTTGTGGAGTCCTGGTGTAGCACTGTGGGCTAATGCATCAGACTGCAAAGTCGTTTGAACTGCAATGTCGGCAGTTCAAGCTCACCAGCCGCTCTCTGGAAACCCAATACAGGTTTGCTATGAGTTGGAATCAACTCGACAGCACTCAACAACAACAACAAATTGCTTGTACATGCATTACTTCTGCAATTAAAAAACGATAACATAAGGCTGTGGTAGCCTAGGGCTGAAAGGTTGGGGAAGAAATGGTTGGAACAACTAATAGGTACACTGGGACTAACAAGGAGCTTCAAACAGTTCATGGGAAAACGGAAATTTCCCACAAATTGTTTGAAGCCCTAAAAATCACTAAAATCACTGAATAAGTGAGTTATGTGATATCTGAATTATATCTCAATAAAACTATTATTTAACCCTCCCCCCTCCGGCCAGGCTTCTTAGGTAATAAACCTTAAGGTTGTGAGGTGAGGTGGGGAGTTTCTATGCCACCACAATTTCATCCTGGTCAACAGAATTTTCAGATCAACAGTTGGGACCCTCAAAACTCTCTGAGAGGACAAAGGGCCATCATCCACCACTAGCCAACGTCAGGTTTCTTGCCAGGCAAAGGGGACCCATCACCCATCCCTGACTTGCACATCTTGAGCAACAGCGAACTCACATCTTCACCTATTATTCCATGTTGATTTATGTGGCTCAGTCCATACACAAACAACTCCTCATACAGCCTCCCAGCATCTTCTACTCTCTGGGTCAGGTGGAAGGTGTGAGTTAACCTTCTCTAGCCACCTCTCCATTCTCCATTTCCTCTTTCACTTCTCCTATGTTCCTCTAGCACTGCTCTCTGGATCAGCTCCAGACAGCCACTTCCACCTCCACACTATCAAAGTGGAAGGAACTCCATAATTGAGTTCTGGTAGCATAGTGGTTACGAGTCAGGCTGCTAAGCTTAAGGTCGGCAGTTCGAAACTACCAGCTGTTCCACGGGAGAAAGATGAGGCTTTCTGCTCCCGTAAAGATTTACAGCCTCAGGAACCCTGTGCGGGGTCGCTATGAGTTGGAACCGACTCCACGAAACTTAACAACAACAAAAAAACTTGAGTGGAATCTCACATTCAGGGAACCAGCTTCCACCCTGACCCCACGGATTGAACAAACCTTGGAGAAACAGGATTCCAACCACAGCTGCAAATGTTCCTTCCAAATCCAAATACCCTGTCACTCTCTTTGACCACTACAGAAGCAGAAGTTGTTGTTAGCTACCTTGAGACAGCCTGTGACTCATGGAGACCTCACACACAATGGGATGAGACCATGGTGATCCACAGAGTTTTCAATGGTGGAGTTTCAGAAGTAACTCACCAGGTCCTTCTTCTAGTCCAGAACTCCACTGAAACCTAATCAGCATCACAGCACAAAGCTTCCACTGACAGGTGGTGGTAGCAAATGAACTGAGTCTTCTCATGGAAGGCAAGAAACTAACACTGAACCACCAATGTCCCATGTTGTTGTTATATGCTTTGAAGTCAGTTTCAACTCATATTGACCCTGTAAGGGGTTTCTAATCTTTATAGGAACAGAAAGCCTCATCCCTCTCCAAAGGAGAAACCAAATATCCAAAAAACCAAACCTGTTGCTGTACAGCCCATTCCAATTCATACAGACCCTATAGGCCAAAAAAGAACTGCCCCCGTAGGATGTCTAAGGCTATCAATCTTTATGGAAGCAGACTGCCTCATCTTTCTCCCAAGGAGTGGTTACTGGGTTTGAACTGCCGAACTGACATAACAGTTAGCAGCCAAGTGCTTTAACTACCGAACTGCCCCCAGAAAGTAAATGACAATCTCAGTAACCATAGTATTGTTTACTGTCCTGGTGTAGCACTATAGGATAAGCACTGGACTGCTAACAACAAGGTTGGAGGTTTACATCCATCAGTCGCTCCTTGGAAACCCTATACAGGGTGACTATGAGTCAGAACTGACTCAACAGCACTTATTATCAACAACAACAACAACTGTGCTCCAAGCATGTGCCTTAGCCCAGCTCTTGCATTATTTTAGTAACTATTGTTGTTGTCACTTAAGTACCGTGGAGTTGGTTCCGACTCATAGTGACCCTGCACAGGGTTTCCAAGGCTACAAATCATTACAGGAGCAGAAAGCCTCATCTTTCTCCTGTGGAACAACTGGTAGTTTCCAGCTGCCAACCTTGAGGTTAGCAGCCCGATTCGTGACCACTCTGCAACCAGAGCTTCCATTTTACAGAGGGTAAGACTGACTCAAGATCAGCCAGGTCTGTGTTAGGTCCCTGAGCTGGCTCATGTCTGGAAGAGCAGATCGTTAGCCCCTCAGAAACGGAAAAGACTTCAACCATCAGGCCGTATAATACTAACAATTTACAGTTAGGGAAATTGAGACCCAGACAAAGTAAATGGCTTGCCTGACGTCACACAAGCCTCCTGGCTCTGGGCCAGTGTTCTCCCCTCATGGAAATAAAAGGAATCATCCTGCCACCAGCCTCACGGGGCCATGTTGTGGGAACAAGTCCCTGCTTGCCAGAGGCTTTGAAATCACAGGATGAAAGGTGCCGTGGCAGCAAAACAGCACTATGGACTGCAGCTCGCCTGACCTCTGCCAGGACTTGCATGCTGACATACGCCTGCTCGCCTGCTCACCTGCTCGAGGCGGGTGAAAAGCTGCGGGCACCAACCAAGCCACAGAACTCAAACAGGCCTGGGAGCTCCAGGCACTGTGGGAAGGTATGTTCCAAATGCTGATGTTTCCACAGGGATGGCCCTGGGTCTCCTGGGTGGAGAACCAGGTTCAGGTAGGGAGGGGTCTGGAATTTTAATTGTCTGGTATGAAAATGCCCACTGCTTCTTAGGTGGGGTAAAGGGGGTGCATGGATCGCTGGTGAGGTGGCAAAAGCACACCCTCATTCCCCTCCAACAGATATTTCTAAGCAGATAACTTCCTTGGGAGTCCTGGTGTGACGCTAAAGGATATGCACTGGACTGCTAACAAGGTCAGTGGTTCAAACCCACTAGTCACTCCTTGGGATCCCTATAGAATGCTATGAGGCAGAACCGAATAACACAACAACAGCTCCCTGAAGGGGGAGGGTTGGAGGCTTCCTGGCTTTCCCCCACATGCCACCTCCCACCCCCTTACTTCAGAAGGCTCTTCAGGTAAGTCTGGACTAAGAATTTGAGGCATTTGAAGAGGATTATTAATAGCAATGAAGTGCTGAGAAGAGAAAGTCCAGCAGGTTCTGAGTGGGTACAACCCTCTTCTGTTCAGCCTGGTATCCACAAAGCAAATGCAACCCTCTCCAGTAGAGGACACTTCACCTTTTGTGGCTCTTAATCCCTCCCCGGTCCCTCACTCTGTAAAATGGCCAGGGGAGAGGAGGGTGGGCTGGTGGTTCTCAGTCCGGGAGGTGGGAAGAAGAGAAGCCAGAGCTGAGTGTGAGGAACTGAAAAAACCCACTGAAGGCAAGGCACACCCACCCAGGCCAGGCAGGGGGTGGGGCCCCAGAAGGAGGTCCTGAATGGATGAACTGTTACAGAGCCCCAAGAGGCTCCCACGGACAGGGAGGGGACAGGAAATCTCTGCCAGCCCTTCCCGCCCCCCAGTCCTCCTACAAGGTGACTGTCCAGGGCTTAATCTTCCGTGCTGGCCCTCCTGGCCTAGAGAGGACATGAGTTATTTCTACATCACTCCCACCCATGCCGAGTCCCAGATCTCAGACCACAGTCACCTAGCAAGCTCTCCCCAGCCCCCGCTTTGTGTCTCGCCAGGGTGGGGTCCTAAGAACTTGAAATTAGGGACACTTGATCACTATTCTCACAGGACAGCAAGACAAAGAGATAAATGTGGGCGGACCCAATACTCTGGGTCCACTGGACAGGAACAGATCAGTTCAGCCAAGAGAAACTGTCCCCTCACTCCATGGGCTGCCCCCCATAAGCACTGGCACCCTGTGTATCGGGGCTTCTACTAGGCCAGGCCCTAAGTTAACCATGCCCCATGAATTAGCTCATTGAAGTCACTCAATAACCCATTAATAAAGAAGAAATCATTCACCCCATTTCTAAGAGGAGACAACCAAGGCGCCAGGATGGTAAGAGATTTATCCAAGATTACACCACTGGGAAACAGATGTTGGGATTCCACCCAGGGCCACCTCACCCCAGGCTGGGGAGGTTAGCCACAGAGCAGAATCTCCCAGGCAGCACAGGACTCCAGCCTCTCTCCGGATTGTCCGGGTATGGGAGGAGGAGGAACCTGGGACTCTGCAGTAGCCCAGGACTTCTCCAGGAGTCTTAGGAGCAGCTGCCTTTCTAAGAAGTGGCCATTGTGCCATGACAGGCTGGGAGCCCAGGAGGCTGAAAGAATGGGGCAGAGAGGCCCGGCACTGGCCCTGAGAAGTCTGGCTCTGGCCTTGGCCAGCCTCCTTAGCCATGGGGGCCAGCAGGGACATTCTGCTGAGTTTAAGCTAAAGAAGAGTGGATGCCCCTCTGGCACCCGATTTATTCATAGCTTCAGTCCCCAGGCTCAGTCTCCAACCCAGATGGGCTGGTTTTCTCGGCCACGTGTACTGGAGCTTGGAACCAAGACAGTAGAGGGGTCAAGACGCGCTGGCAGGCGTGTGCAGAGCACTGTGAGAAGAGAGAGGACAGACGTGGAACGCTTCAGAACAGGGGTGACGCAGGTGGTGGGGTCTGAGAGCCCTTCCACAGCCTGGTCTGAGGTAATGTGTAAGGGGATCGAACATAAGGTGTGTGAGGCAGGACAGAGCTTCTACGAGGGTCCAATAGTAGAGGGAGGGCTCCAGTACCCGCCAGACGGGTAAGTGCGAGCTCAGCAAGGGGCGGGAAGGGGCGCCCAGACACGGCGGGAACAAACTCGGATGCGGGACACTGTCCCCAGCAGTTCCCGCTCAGCCCCATTCCGGACCTGACTGTGCTGGGCCCGGGGCCCCAAAGCAGGAGGTGGGCCGGGTGGGGGCGTGGCTCGGGGACCCCCTGCGGGCCCCCGAAAGCGCGCGGCGCGAGACTCACCTGCGATGTGCTGGCGCCGGGCGTCATCCAAGTGCGTGGACAGCACGTCCCCCATGGCGAGGAAAAGCCTCAGCCCAGCCCGGCCGCCGCCCGTCGCTGCCCGAGCTACTCAGGCGGACGCTGCTGGCGCCATGGAACCCCGCCCGCTTGCTCCCGCCGATCGCGCTGCCTCTGGCTGCGGCCTCCGCTCCAGCTCGGGATCTGACTCCGCTCAGGCTCCTTCTCTGGCCGCGTCCGTCTGGTCAGCCACCTCAGTCAACCGCTCCCGCCCGCGGCCCAGCAACCCGACCGCGCCCCGCCCCGCCCCCGGTCCGCCCCGCCCCCATCTCGGGTGGGGCCAAGGGGCTGGAGACGTCGGGACCGCCGGAAGACAGAGACAAAGAAAACGTCCCAGGAAAGGGAGACGGAGGAGAGATGCCGAGAGAGATACATCCCACCCCGACCGAAACAAAGGAAGATAAAAGGCTGGTGGGACATCTGGAAAGACAGGGTGCCCTGCAGAACTCCAGCCTGGCAGACAATCCCTACCCTGGCCGCGTGGTAAAGAATCACACTAGGAGGGGACGCATTGTCTGATGTGCGGGAGTTGCGTTCGAGCCCAGCGCCCCCCGCCTCTGCGCCAACACTGGCTCCCCATACCCTAAGCCCGCCCACCGCAGCCCGCACTCAGGAAGTTCCTCGGCCTTGATCCGACCTAACCCAGAAGGTGTGCCCGTCTTGCACAATAGCATAAGGAAAGGAGGGCTGGAAGGGCTTGAGCCCAAAAGCACCCCCGACCTCAGCGCCAGTTGGGTTTAACTCAATAATAGTGTATGGGCAGTCCGATCCGGAGGCGCCTTGTAGCACAGGAATATAAAAAGTAATAATACTTTACAGTTTGTAAAAGACTACTGGATTCAAAACCCACTCACGGGCTGACAAGGACTTTGGTACCAGTTAGGTGAGGCTGGGCATGAGTGAGTCACCGGTACCATAGGATTATATTTCAGTCCCATGCTCTGGGCCTCCTCAATTGGTGGTGTGGCATGGAGTCCGTTCCGATTCATAGCGACCGTGTATAGGATTTCTGAAGCTGTAAATCTTTACCGGAGCAGAAAGTCTCATTTTTCTCCCTTGAAACAGCTGGTAGTTTAGAACTTCTGACCTTGAGGTTAGCAGCCTGATTTTTAACCACTATGCTACCAGAGCTTAACTGGTAGGGAGATAGTTTAACAACTGGGATCCCAAAATCAAAGACTGGAGTGGCAGAGGCCTTCCTTGGTTGCTTGGTTGCTGATGCACAGTTTTCCTTCTTGCAATCCAACAAAGATCATTTAGTTTCTGCTTGCACACCCCTGTGACTGGTTGCTCATCACTTCTCAGAACACCCCATGTATTATCTGGCTCTTACTGTAACCAGTGCATGAGACAGAAATAGATGATAATAAAAGTTAACATGCCTGTGAACCCGTAATTCAGACCTGTCAGCACACCAGGAGGTAGGTTTGAAATTGATTAAAGTGTGATGTCACCACTCATTCATGCTAACAGTCATTCAACAAGCAGGTGATGAAGACCTTGGAGATGGCCCTCTGCAAGATGCTGGGGGGTGAGGGTGAAGTGAGTGGTGAAAAAACAAGGAAATCAAGCTGCCACCGGCTCTGTGACCCTGGACAAGTGGTGTTAGCTCATTGAACCTCAGTTTTTTCATCTGTCAAATGAGAAGAGTGATCCTTTGTTGTGAGGATTAAATGAGGTATTCAAGTGCATAGCACATTGCTTAATGCACAAGTAGTTGTCATCAATACACAACACCTGTCAATAAGAGTATTCACTGTCCCTGCCCTACGGACACAGGCTAAAGAAGGAGCAGAACATTCTGTTAGAGGAAAATCACAGAGGGAGTAGTACCAGAGAAGATGAAAGACAAGATTTTTGACAGCAAATACTGGAGAACTGCATTCCAGGAGGTGGGGACAGAACAGGCAAAGGCATGGCCTTTGAGAGCAGAGTCATCAGGTGGAGTTGAAGTCAAGTTGACATGGAGCACTAGTTTCCTGTTACAGAGGCAGAAACTGAGGCCCAAAGAGATAAAGTGACTTGCCAATTTCGCACAACAAAACAAAGGTAGGACCCAGTCAGAGGCCAAGTGTCCTGATGCCCAATGTCTGGTTCTCTTTAAGCAACAAGAGGCAAGTGATGCTGATAGCCTCATTTCAAAGTGGCAGGAATTTGTAGAGACTGAAAAGGTCTGCTTTGCCCATGGAAGGGATGGAGAGTTGTCAGCCTGTCTGGCTGGAGTTAGCTGGCACCTGGATACCCCAAGTTGTCTCCTCAACCTAGTTGGAGACCTGGGCAAGTTGGAATAGAGGTGGGGCTACAAGTAGAGTTTCCCCAGTCTTGACATGCTCCCAGTTCCTAAGAAACACCCACAAACTTCCCAATGGACTAGGTCCCTGAGCTAAGGACCCACAACCAAGTCCTCAGGTTCTAGGAGGCGGCCAGGGACAGGCCTCTTGACTTTGAAGCTCCTCTGACCCCTGCCACCTAACCTCTCTGAGCACCTAGGGCTTCACATGTAAGAGGCAAATAGGACTGTAAAAGTGAAAAGGTACTATAAACTTTAGGGTGCTATGCAAATGTATGAATGGCTCCTACCCCATGTTGGGGGCCTTTCTCCTCCAAGATTCAAAATTTGTCTGAGGCTAGGGATGGAGGGGAGTTAATTGCAAAAAATCAGGAGAAAATCATTGTCATAGAATTATGCATGTAGAAATTGTTGAAACGGTTTATCTGTTGGCTGTGTATGTATTCTAAAATAAAATAAATCAAACTTTAAAAATCAGGAAAACTCAACAAAATAAGAATAGAAGGAAATTTTCTCAACATAGTTAAGGGCATATATACCAAACCAACAGCCAACATCACTCTCAACTGAAGTTCTCAACTGAGAAACTGAAGGCATTCCCTTGTGAACAGAAACAAGACAAGGATGCCCTTTGTCACCACTCCTATTCAATACTGTGCTGGAAGTCTTAGAGCTATAAGGCAAGAAAGAGAAATTAAAGGCATCCAAATTGACAAAGTGAAGTGAAACTCTATTTGCAGATGATATATCCTATACTTAGTCCCAAAGACTCAGCAAGAAAATTATTAGAAGTCATTGAAAGATTCAGCACAGTGGCAGGGTACAAGATCAATGTAGAAAACTCAGTTGAATTCCTTTACACTAAATAAAGAGAGCTCTGAAAAGGAAATCAGGAAATAAAAACCATTTGCAATAGCCGTCCAAAGGATGAATTACTTAGGAATAAATCTAACCAGGGAAACCAAAGACCTAGACTATGAAAATTATAAAACACTGCTACAAGAAACCAAAAGAGACATACATACAAAAATGGAAGAATATACCAAGCTTGTGAAGGGAAGATTGAACATTGTGAAAATGTCAACACTATCCAAAGCAATCTATAGATATAATGCAATCTCAATCGGGTTCCAACATCATTCTTTACAGATATGAAAAGCTAATCATCAACTTTATATAGGAAGGAGAGACCCCAGATTAGTAAAACATCACTAAAAAAGAACAAAATAGGAGGCCTCTAACTTCCCGATCTCAAAACTTACTACTACACAGCCACAGTAGTCAAAACAGCCTGCTACTGCTCTGGTAGCAAAGTGGTTACAAATCGGCCTGTGAACCTCAAGGTCAGCAGTTCGAAACTACCAGCTGTTCCACTGGAGAAAGATGAGGCGTTCTGCTCCCGTAAAGATTTACAGCCTCAAAAACCCTGTACGGGGTCACTATGAGTTGGAACCAACTCCACGGCACACAACCACCACCACTGGCACAATAAGACACATAGATAGATCAATGGAACAGAATTGAGAATCCAGAAGCAAATCCATCCACCTATGCTCAGTTGGTCTTTGACAAAGGACAAAAGCACATTCAATGGAGAAAAGATAATGTCTTCAACAAATGGTACTGCAAACTTGGAAATCTATTTACAGAAGAATGAAACAAGACGCGTATCTCACATCATATACAAAAATGAACTCAACATGGATCAAAGACCTAAATGTAAAATCTAGAACCATAAAGAGCATCAATTAAAAAATAGGGACAAACTTAAGGGCTCTGAATAAAAGATCAGGTGAAATTTTTATTGGGGATGGAAATGGTCTATGACTGGAGTAGTGATGGTGGTGGCTGTCGAGTTGGTTCTGACTCGTAGCGACCCTGTGTGGGGTTTCTGAGAAGTGACGGGTGAGTTTGAACCACTAACATTGCAGTTAGTAATCCAGTGCTTAATAACTACTCAATGATTCATTAAGCTGTGCACTTAAAATGAATGTATTTTATTCTTTGTAAGGTATGCTTCAATAAGTTGATTTTAAAATAAATATATCAAGCACTATTATGTGCTGAATGTTTTTCTAGGTGGGATATATCAACATACAAGATAGTCAAGGTCTTCACCCTCATGGAGGTTATATTCTCATGCTATGGGAAGAAGGGCAGTGAATAACTAAGATGACTTCAGATAATGATAAGCACAAAGAAGAAAATAAAGCAGCATGATGGGATAGGATGACAAGTAGCCACGTTGGATAAAGTGGCCAAAGACATCTTCTCAAAGGACACAGCACTTTGAGACATTTTGAGTAAGAAGGAGCTTGCATTAGAAGATTCAGGAATGTTACTAGTTGCCATTGCACCAGCTCCAATGCATGTTGACCCTGCAGAGGGCAGTACTAGAGTCTAACTTCACCAGGGGAAGGAGACTTAAGATCAACATCTCAAGGCTGATTTCGGTGAGGCCAGGTCAAGTATACCTCCACCCTCAACTTTCTTACCAATTCTGACACCAACCATCCCATCCCATAGCCTTTTCTATTCCTCTGCTTGGTTTGATTCACTGTAATGGCTACATAGAACTCACAAACTATACTCACAGTTACAGGGTTTATTAGAAAGGTAACATTCAAGTAAAATTTTGCTGAAAACAAGTCAAAAATGGTTGCAGCAGTCCATGGACAAGAAGCTGCCAGAAATTCAAGCCAGATTCA